AGTTATCCAAGTTGAAAACCTCTCCATTTGCCTTCACGATTTTTTCTCTTTTATCCCCTGTGGTGCAGATGGCTAATGGCCCTCCAGGGGCTGCTCATCCCTACTTCTACCTTTGTAAGAATTTTAATCTTGTACGTAGTGCTGAAGACTGCATTTTCCTTACAGGTAGGGGCAACCACAAGACCAAATTCTGGCTGGTGGATGTGAGCAGAGGTGATAGTGATGAAATGGCTCCATTCCCCACACACACGTTCCACTTGAATACAACCATGTGTGTGTTTGAGTCACTTCTGTACGTCTGCACCTGTTCAGGGCCTGCCTCTTGCTGGGTGCTCTGTTTTTCAGGTGAATGCTGGGGCTCCCTAGTGACCAGTCAGGACAGTGGAGGACAGGGCCTATATGTATTGTGTCTAGGGACCAGGAGGGCAGAAGGCTTGGGGTAGATGACTTGTTCACAGGTCCCATGAGGTGGAGGAGAGGCTGTTGGACAAAAGCCCCAGGAGGCAAGTTTCAGCTTAATAGAAGGAAAGACATAAGAAACTGAACTTTGTCCAGGCACAGTGGCTCATGCCTATAATCCTAGCACTCTGGGAGGTAGAGGCAGTTGGATTGCTTGAGCTCATGAGTTCAAAACTAGCCTAAGCAAAAGTGAGACCTACTCTCTATTAAAAATAGAGACTCTATCTCAAAAATAAAAAGAAAGAAAGAAAAAATAAACTGAACTTTATTTTTAAATTTCAAAATAGTTGTTCTAATTACCTATCAGATGTGATTCAGGAATGCATGATTTTTAAAATTAAACATAACAGCACATGCCTATAAAGAAAAACCCTGGCTCAACGCCCGTAGCACAGTGGTTACAGTGTTAGCCATGCACACCTAGGCTTGTGGGTTTGAACCTGGCCTAGGCCAGCTAAACAACAATGACAACTGCAACAAAAAAGTAGCCGGGCATTGTGGCAGGCTTCTATAGTCCCAGCTACTGGGAGTCTAAGGGAAGAGAATTGCTTAAGCCCAGGAGTTTGAGGTTGCTGTGAGCTGTGATGCCACAGCACTCTACTGAGGGCAACATAGTGAGACTCTGTCTCAAAAAAAAAAAATCCTTGTTATCACTGCTCCCTCCCCCCACTACTGGGGCAGTTTTGTGTGTGTCCTTCCAGATCTTTTTCTATGCATTTATATATAGATAAAGTCAAAGGCACACATATGTGTTCACATATATACACACGTACCATGCAACTGGATGAAATTTTCTCTTGCACTATTCTTTCTTGCTCCTCCTCAGTTGTGTTGGAGAAAGATTTTGATAAAAATGAGTACATCTACAGAGATGTTAGGTGGCTGAACGGAACATCACAGTCCTTTTATGAGAGGTGGTCCACAAAGCAAAGGAGGCACCTGTTGGTCTTGGAGGTTCGCTGCTCTGAGGAACAGCCTCAGAGCACAGCCAGGACCTTTGGGATGAGCCTGGGCTCATATGAGCCATAAGCTGCCCCTTAGGACCTCAAGGACCTCATGGTCCTCTCTTTGTCCAAGACAGGTCACTGGGGGGAGAGCAGGTGGAGGAGAACTGGGCAGGAGAGAGGTGAGAGGGAGCCAGGTACAGGTGAGGGCCGTGCACATGGGCATGGGAGACCGTTCAGTGGGGAAATTGACATTTTCTACCATCTTTGCATTTTTGTGTGATCATGATTAATAAAGAGTAAGATCGTTTTCCTCCCTGCTTCCCATATGTTGAGGTACCACTGAAAAGTTATATATTTATGTGTTTTTTTCTAAGACCAATAAGTTCAATCATATTACATGCATCTTAATATGTGACTTGCTTTTTTGGCTTAATACATCTGCTGTGTTTTTCTTTTTTCAGTTTTAGGATGGGGCTGGTTTTGAACCTGCCACCGGCATATGGGGCCGGCACCCTACTCCATTGAGCCACAGGCGCTGCCTGCTGTTCGGCAAACGAAGATGAAACTCATCTTTTAACACTGGGCTTTTGGGTATGGCTGTTCACTCTGTGAATAATCAGCATCTTTTGGATAGACATTTATGTTGCTCACAATGACCTGGCACCGAGCATTCTCGGGATATAGCTTGGTGCACACACATGTGCTGCTGGGTCTACACATGTGGGGGTTTACACATTTTGAATCCTAATAGCTATTGCTCTATAATTCATATTCCCTCCTATGGTACTAGAGACCACCCACGTTCTCGCCTGCCTTGGTGTTCCCATCTTTTTATTTTGCCACTCCACCACGGGCTTCATGGTGAGGTAATGACCCCCCACCCCTGAGGTGGACTAAGTAGGGATTATAACTCCATTGACTAAGAGCTCTGGGGAGAGGTTTCCTCTGCAGACAGAGGAAGTGGGATGCTATGACCTCGGGTTCCCTGGGTTCTGTGCTTATTAACCGGGATAGAGACACATGTGTCAGTGGGTGGAGGAATGGAGTTCTCTGAAGCCCTGAGGCAATGCTGGCCCTTCCAGTTCTCCCAGGGGGGCTAAAAAGTGAGCCCTGCGGTGACAGGGCCTACAGCTGGTAAATCAGGCTTTCACTTTAGCCTTTAACAGGAAAATATTCACCTCTGGGGTGAATATGACTGGGTGCTGTTTTGCTTTCTTTGCAGAGAAGAGGGTGCTTCCCCATGGAAGGGAGGGTCTCAGTGTGTGGAAGCTCAGAGGCGCTGCAGCTGGGTGTCCCTGACCCCCTCAGTCTGGGGAATTGGTCCTCCTGCATGGCCTGGTTATCTTATTGAAACCCACATCCTGTCATGAGGGCCAGGGAGGATCCTCCATGAAACCTGGACCCTGCCATGCCACACTTCCTATAGTGGGCTCTCACGGTACCTTCCCCTCTCTGGCACCTCTGTTGGCTCCTACTGCCTACAGAGGGATACCATGCTCCCCAGGGAGGCATCTCAGCTTCCTAGTGGGCTCCACTTAAATTCTCATTCTTGCTCTAACCTGGTTTTCCATAACCTCCTCCCTTCCCCCCATTTCCAGATCCTCCCCATGTTTTAAGGCCCCTCTACATGAAACTGCAGCCCCACCCCTTTTAATATTCTCGGATTTTCAACCTCACTCCAAGGAAGGTTTCAATCCCAGCTCTACAGCAGTCTGAATAGTTCTGTGTGTCTGAGCATGTGATCCGATGGTGGTATGAACAGCAGGGAATGCACAGACTAGGATTGGAATCTTAGCTCTATCACTTGGCATGTAGTCTTGGAAATTAGTTAACTGGTCTGGTCCTCAGTTTCCTTATCTGTAAAATGGGGGTAATTACTGCCACTCACAGGATTATCCAGCAGATCGTGTGTGTGTTGATCTTCCCCCAGGGATGTTTTTGTTTTTACAATTTGGGGTTGGGGATGCTGTTGGCATCTCAGAGGGTGGAGGCCAGGGATGCTGCCAAACACCCCAGAATGCACAGGACAGCTCCCTGCAGCAAAAAGTGACCTGGCCCTAAATGTCATAGCCGAGAGGTTGAGAAACCTGATGTAGATGAAATAACATATAGACCTGAGAAGGTACCTAAGGGGCCTCGAGTTCTCAGTGGGTGCTTCTGGAATGTCTATCCTTAAACGTACCTGATTCATTCCTGTCTCACACAGAGACGGTGGGTTTTAGGAGAAGGGAGAAAGGAAGAAGAAAAAGAGGGGATATTCTCATTCTTGCATGTTCCGTGATTTTAGGATGTGGAGGGACCAGGGCAGCAAGAGGGAAGGTGTCCTCCATAGGGACCATTACCTGGAAGGATGTTGGGGGTTGCGGAGTGGGAGCTGTGCCTGCCCCTCTTGTGCTCCTGTCATTTCATGGACAGGGAACTTTTTGTTTCTGGCTCTGAATCATGGTGTCACAGTGAGGAGGAATGCGGCATGATTCAGGCTGTAGTATTTGACCACGGCAAGCCGCCCAGCAACTATCTCAGTAATAACATTACACATTTTTCTGTTTTCCTTTCATTGGACATCTCAAAGCACACTGCAAGCAATAATTAAGGCTCTTGGCACTCAGTGAGGCCCTGAGTGTAAATATCACCGTCCCCACTCGGCTGACAGGGCAAACTGAGCCAGGAAAGGGCAGGTGGCTTCAGCCCAGAGCAGCGCAGGCCTTGTTGAGGCTCTGTGTTGCCGGGGCAGCTGGGGTTTGCTAGCCACTCTACCTTCTAGCTCTGACTTCCCTATCCTCTCCCCAGGCCCCCTTCCCAGACTGTGGGTAGAAAAGGTTTCTTGTCCCCCACTCCGGTAGGAGGCAGGCAGGGACAGCAGGGTTTGGGCTGCCAGGGAGGGGTGAAGGGAATAGGGGAGCCCCTCCCCCTTCTTAAATATGTCCCTTTCCTGCCTGTCACCAGGCCATGCACCACTGGGGGCTGCAGTGCTGGCACAGACTTAGCAGCAGAAGGCAATGGAAAACATTGTTTTTAGGAGAATCACAGCGGGGATAATTTCACTTTTCCTCGGAATTTTAAATAAATGCTTTTGCCAAAATGTTAGCAACAGGTGAGCTGGGTTAAGCAGATTAGTGTTCCTTGTATTATTCTTGCAGATTTTATGTAAATGAAACCATTTCCAAATATAAAGCTTGAAATAAAAAAGAAGAATGAAGGAGGAAGAAGAACGGATTTCTAGAGCTACAGGGGGAAGCAGTTGTGAATGCTCATGGGAGCAGGGAAGTGGGGTCTGGGGCAGCAGGGGTCCGCAGTCACTGGGGAGGGCGTTCCGGGTGGTGTGAACTTCCTCTCCAGAGCCACAGTGGCCAATGCAGCCAGGGAATCCAAAAGAAACATTGGAAAGGCGACAAGAGGAAAATGTGCTCTTACTTCTTAAATGTGGCCAGAGAAAATCCCTTCGGTTTGGGAACGCAGGCTGTGCGTCCCTTGAAGGGGCGTCCTGGACGTGGGGCATGGCCTTGTGGCCTGCAGTCCCCCACCCCGCGCCAACACGGCCCTGGGTGACTCACCCTCGGGATTATTTAAATACCGGGCCAGCCCAGCGAGCCGCACTCATGCTGCAGTCTTGAGCCCTCCCGCGTCCTGCTCTCGGCTCCCTCTTGTCGTCGCGGGTGCCTGAGCGGCTGGTAAGTGGGCGGGCAGCGGTCCCTCCTCCGGCCAAGAGGTCCCCGGCTGTCCCCTCCCTTTTCTACTGTCCTCACTCTGTTAAAAGAGAGTGCAGAAGGGGCAGGGCTGGCGGGGTGCCCGGGAGCTCGTAGGACCGAGGGGCGAGCCTCTCTGCGGATGCCTGACCAGCCTCTTGCGCCCCTGCTCTCCCTGTTTGGTGCTATGGACCGTGGATGCTGAGATGCTTGAGACAGCAAGATGGGCTGACGGTGGACTGAGCCGTCGCACCCATTACTCGCCTGGGGTACCTCTCTCTGGTCCTAGATCAACGGGAGGGAGAGTTTCTCTTTTTAAGGTTCAGGTTACTGGAGCCTGTGTCCTCCTTCCCGGCACTGACTGTGGTGACCACCCGTGGTCTGCCTTGCATCTGGGTCTGTCTGGGACAGCTGGACCGACCCTCACGGGCCTTTCCCAGGGCAGGGATCTGTCCTCTTTGCTATGGTTGATTGCTGCAGACTTGTCTTTCGCAGATGTGCTGGTCCTGGCATGGCAGTTCCAATTTGGACTTTAACGTGGCATCAGAATTGTTTGAGTTCTAACGTTGCGTGTGACTTAGGTGTCCCCATTCCGGCAGCTATTCCCCCTTGCTGGCACAGAATGATAGACTCATGGGAGGCTGGAGGTTTTGAGCAGAGAATCAGGTCTGGAGATGGGTTTGTGATGAGAAGTGGTGTGAATTTAAAATCATTAATCTTGGGCCTTCATCAGTGTTTCTGCTCACATGGAGAGCCAGGACTCAGGGCCAAGAAACCAACTGTGGAAAATCAGAACTTTCTCCAGTGGTTCTCACCCTGTGGGAGTCGAATGACCCTTTCGACCACTATGGGAGTCGAATGACCCTTTCACGGGGTCACCTAAATACATCCTGCATATCAGATATTTACATTATGATTCATAACAGTAGCAAAATTACAGTTAAGAAGTAGCAACAAAAATAATTTCATGGTCAGGGTCACCACAACATGAGGAACTGTATTAAAGGGTCACGGCATTAGGAAGGCTGAGAACCACTGCTCTAGACCCTCCCACTGGTGCCAATGTGCAAGAGCCATTCTACCTCCAGGGCCATCTGTACTACCTCAGGGCAGCTGCAATGTCTCTGGGTTAACACGAGCTCAGATGGAGGGTGGCATGCACTTGAGGGTTATCTCGGGTTGTATCACCTTATCTCAGGCAGCTCTCAGCTGTGTTGGTGCTGTGGCTGTATAACAGTGGTTCCCAACCTGTGGGTTGTGACCCCTTTGGACTGTATTAAAGGTCCGTGGCATTAGGAAGGTTGAGAACCACTGCTCTATAATGTAGAAATTGCTAACAACTGGTGCTTCTTTCACTGTGCACGGATGAACATCTGGGGTGAATTCAGCGCCAGACAGTCCAATTTGCCTGTGGTCTTGAGTCTAGCCCAGCTAGGCGGGCTCAGCAGTATGAGGCAGGCGTGGGGTGGGGGCTGGGGGAAGGAAAGCTCTGAATAGACCCCGAAGAAAGGCGGGGCATGGCAGGTTCTCCTCAGGCCTGGAGACACTACCTTTGCTCACCCAGCAAATGGGGGCTGGGTGGGGAGGGTGAGGCAAGGGGGGAAGTGGATCTGGATGTGGAGAAAAGAGAGAGATGGGAGAGAAGCTGCCCTGACTCGGTCCTGCCCGCAAACAGGCTGTGACTGCACATGGCAATTTGCTGCCCTAAATCCTGACCGCGCTAGAATGGCTGTGCCTCAGTTTTCATCGTCTCTCCTGGTTTTGGGACACAGAGTTTAGAAACTGCTTTGATGAGGGATGGGGCCCCAGGGCTAGCCAGAGAAGGGGGCTCTCTGTAGACGGTGGCTTCTTCTGTAAAAGCCCCCTTTGGGAGGGTCTCCCTGCCCTGCTGGACAGCTTGTCGGGATCTGCCACTGCGCTTGCTGGGCTAATTACAGCCCTGCTTCTGGCCTCTGCAGGAAGCCAAATTCTATTTCCCACAACCCTGGGAGGGTCCCCAACAGAGGGGCTGGGAAGGAGTCCAGTTTCCTTGCTCATTTTCTTTTTTAAAACAATGCACAACTTTTCAGCTTTGAAGGACCATGAGAGGTGGGAGTCACCACCTGAGCAAGGGAGAGGGTGAGGATGTGGCCAGTCTTGCCTTGGGGCTCAGGGACGCTTTGTGTTTGGGACAGAGCATTCTCCAATCAGGGACCTGTGAATGGGGCTGTGTATTGTTGAGACCATACTGGAGTCAACCTCTCTGGTGACACCCTTCTGCCCCTTCCTTCCACTCCTCCAGACCACCCAGGTGAAACTGAACAAACTGACAAGTATCAGAGCAGCCTTAAAGAAGAAAGCCCTGGAACCATCCTCCACCTGCCCAGCACAGCCATTGGAGAGGCACCTGGCTTTGGCCGACTGTCCTGTGTTGGGCAGGTGGAAGGTGGGTTGTATATTGACCTTGGGTCATTTTAAGAGGAAGAGAGCAAAGTCCCCTCTTCCTCCCCACTCCCAGGCACTGCCAGGTATGTGGTTGACAAGGTCCCAAAGCACCAAGTTCTATGGTTAGGGGCCCTGATTGGGTGTCAGGAGTCTCCAACCCACTGTGTGACCTTGGGCAAGTCCCCTGCTCCCTGGGGACCCCTTTAGTTTTCTCATCTTCAAAATGACCAGATGATCTCAAAAAGCCCTTAGTCTTGTGATGCTCTGGGCTCTCAGCACTGCTTCTGGAAGCAGCTTCGACTGCTGGGTTTCACTCAGCACAAACCACAGGTTCCTGATAGGATGTGGATATGACAGCTGAAGAAGGTGACAGAGGGAGCTGGGCCTGTAGGACCTGCAGCCTCCCTGTCCTGGCTTATCTCTCTCTTAGCTCTCTCTTCTTGCTGGTCAGTGCTGCAGGTTCCCACTGGTGTGGGCCTCAGGTGGTGTTTCTGGTGCGGTCTGTGGACACCTGCATTAGAGTCACTTGGGAAGTTTGTTAAGTCCCTGAGACCGGGGATCAGGATCTCTGTGGGTGGAGAGAGAGCCTGATTTTACTCAACAACAAACCTAACAATCGTTGCTAACATTTATTGGATATTCACTTTGTACCAAAAACTAGTCTACGTGCTTTACATGCATTAACTAATTCACTCCTCATAGCAGCAATGCTATGAGGTCAGTTCTATTAAAAAGCTTCCTAGGCAATTGCTATGTGCTGCCCTAGGGGATGGGGAGGTCTGGACGAGGCTTGAGCCCCAGGCTGGGCCTCTAGGTCAGACAGTGACTTCAGATTGCTAGATAGAGCACCAGGAAGCAGCATGATTGAGGATAGCACTGGCCGTGGGGATGGTGGGGACCATCCCTCAGCAGCTCCAGGCCCAGCATCTCCCTCAGGAGCCCTCAGGTTAGCTAGTTGGGTGACATCTCTCTGCAGATGAGGCCATGGTTAGCCAGCTCTCTATGGGGAGAGGGCCCAGGCCAGAGAGAGAAAGAGAGAAACAGCCCCTCTCTGGGCCTCAGTTTCCCCAGGTACACTGGGAAGGGACAGGACCAGACTCTTGAAGGCCTCTCTTTGTTCCTGGGTCTCCTAAATGGCTATTGGCTACGTGCTGAGTACCAAGTGGTATTGCCCTGCCTAGGAAATTTTGGACCCTGGTGGGTCTGGAAAGATGGGCACAGTTCCTCAAGCCTCGGCATGACGGAGGAGCCAGGCTGGTGGTACTACTGATGGTTCAGTGTGACCTACAGAGAAGAGAGGATAATGGGGGGTGCTTCTGGCCAAATTTTCTTCCTGTCCCCTGTCAAGGGCCCTTGAATGTCTTTATAGATTTAAGACAAACTTTAAGATTCCCCTGGAGGGGGAGATCTACTACAAACTTTAAGATTCCCCTGGAGGCCTGGAGAATTGGCCTAAACCCACACTCCAGCTTAGTGTCAAGACCAGAGTTAGAACATTGGTCTTCCAGGCTCTTTCCAGAAGTTTTGCTGTGTGGCATTAAAATAAGGGATCTCTTTGCAGGGAACCTCATGTTTAGGGCATGTGAATGATAGCATTAAACCAAAAAAGTCCCAATCCACCAACCAGCAAAGCCCAGGACTGCAAGGCTAATTACGGCTTCACTCATGAGTCACAGGGCGTTTCTGCTAAGAGACCCTGGTTCAAGCGCTTCTACCTGTGGGGAGGGACCACGTAAGGGGAGCTGTTTGTCTGGCTTTCTCTTTGTCTGATCTGCTCACTGATTTCATGGGCCAGTGGCAGATGCCAGGATGCACTCCCTCCCCAGGGGCTGGACAGGGGCTGGCCTGAGTCACTGAGGACATACTCGGCTGCCCGGGAAAGGAAGTTGTAATTAGGGCAGCTTCGTGGCCCTTTAACTGCTGTCACAGCTGCCAAGCAGCACTGGGCAGCGTGGGCAATTAGGCTGCTGTGTGCTGGCTCCTGAGGCTGCCGGCCACTGGACAAGCCTGTGTCACTGCTGAAATCCAAGGGCCCAGCCCCAGTTATGTGGCCCTTCACTCCCACCAGGGCTGTGCAGTGGGTCTGAGGTGAGTTCTCGGGAGGGGACGTGGAGCGGGCCGTGCCAGCCGTGGTAGCCAGACGTGCTGGAAAACAGGAAACTGCTAATGTGGTGATGGGGTGGCTCTACAGATGTGAGGATTTATAAAAAGAAAAATCTACAAATTCTTGCAATATTTGTTGCACTGAGTGTGGTCCATTTTAGACAGCGGGGCCCTGTTCCCCTAGGGAATTATCTCTCCACTCCTCCCAGATCACGAGGCACCCTCCCTAACTGGGAGTGGGGGCTCAGAGGAGGCCATATACAGATGTCAGTTACAGATGGGGAAACTCAGCAGAGACTGCTCTGGGCTTGCCGGGTGATGGCCACTGAATGTAGCCTCACTTGGCTGTGATGCCATTTTGAAGCATGCTGAGCATAGGAGTATACATTAAAAATGAATAGCTAGCATGGCCCCAGGAGCAATGAGATCGTTACCTTTTATACATCAGTTCAAGGGAGTAAATCTCTTTTACACACATATCCTAAGGGGATGGGCAGACACCTGCACCTGCCCACATATACCCCTGAGAGCATAGGCACAATTGTCCTTGGGGATGGCTCTTGTATTTATGCTCTGGAAAGCAGCCTTATAATCCTAAAATCTGAGTGGCACCCGTAGCTCAGTGGGTAAGGGCGCCGGCCACGTACACCGGGGCTGGCAGGTTTGAACCTGGCCTGGGCCTGCTAAAAAACAACAATGACAACTGCAACAATGACAACAAAAAAATAGCTGGGCATTGTGGTGGATGCCTGTAGTCCCAGTTACTTGGGAGGCTGAGGCAAGAGAATCACTTAAGCCCAAAAGTCTGAGGTTTCTGTGAGCTGTGACACCATAGCACTCTCCTGAGGGTGACATAGTGAGACTCTGTCCCCTCCCAAAAAAGAATCCTAAAATCTAGGAATGGAGAGGGTATCAGCTGTTCTTCTAGTCTAAAACTGTACCAGGTGTGGGAAGCTTCTCTATAGCTTTTTCTTTTTTTTGCAGTTTTTGGCTGGGGCCGGGATTGAACCCATCACCTCCAGTATATGGGGCCAGCCCCCTACTCCTTGATTCACAGGCACTGCCCACTCTCTATAGCTTTTTTAGCAAGAGGCTTCTCAGCAGCTGCCTGAACACTTCCAGGGACGGAGCACTTGCTACTTCTATGGGGTTGTCCATTTTGACTCTGGACAAGCTGTCTTTGGTGGTGAACTGGAATCTGCTACTCCACAACTCGTGCACACTACTTTTGACCTCAGGATCCACCCTGAGTTAAATCACTTTCTTTATCCCATGGAAGTTCTTCATGGATACTAGGAAAGTGCTTGGGGACTTGTCACATCTCTTTTTCTGGCTGTTCATGCACAGCTACTTGAACAGGTGCACAGATATTCTGGTTTCTGGGTCCCTTTACCATTGTCTACAAGTTCTTTAGGAGGCCAGTTTGTCATTGGTCTTCTTGAAGTTCAGGGGAACTGAGCACAGCACTATAGGTGTGGCCTGATCATGGCAGTGTAGAGTGTGAACCATCACCTCCTTTGTTCCACACTTGATTCTTCTATTAATTCAGTCTCAGGTCACATTAGCTTTTGTGGGCAGCCTCCTTTCTTTGTTACCATCAATAGAAAGCCCAAAGTCTTCTCCTATGGTAGATGTTCAGCCACTTTTTCTGTATCCCCTGTTTAGGCAGTTAATTTGTCTCTGTAAGTTTTTTTTAATTACTTTTTTTTATACTTTTGAAGAGATAGGATTTTTCTTTGTTGCCCAGGCTAGAATGCAATGGTGTGATCATAGTTCACTGCAGACTCTAACTTCTGAATTTAAGTGATCCCCCTGCTTTAGTCTCCCAAGTAGCTAGGACAGGCAAATGCTACCATGCCTGGCTAATTTTTTCCTACATTTTGTAGAGATAGGGGTCTCACTATGTTGCTCAGGCTGGTGTCCAACTCTTGGCCTCAAGTAGTCCTCCTGAGTCAGCCTTACAAAGTGCTTGGATTACAGACATGAGCTACTACGCCTGGCCACAAATTCATTTTTTTTTTTTTT